TTTGGGTCAACACGCTTAAGCAAGTTTATATATTGAATAGAAAATTGATGGTTTTGAATTTGATTCTTTAGAAAGTTTCTCACGCGGCTAAAGACTTTGGTAAAAACAATTTGATTGACTTTAATTAATTATAAAGAGTGTGCCATTATTACATTTGTTTGCTGATATACAAATATTCAATGACTTAGTCCGCAATAATAATTTCTCATTCAACACCATTAGATAACATTAGAGTGGCCACTCAATCTCTTTTTAACCCCAATATTAATTACAATCATTTTTAAAATACATATCATATTTCATTCCAAGATTACCCTCTCTAATATTTTCTTAATCTTTTAGTTAACCTGAGATTAAATTCCTTCAACAGCATCATATTTCCTCTTAAACATCTACTTGAATATTTTTTATTCCAAATACCACTCCACCATGTTTAATGCCTCCTTTACTGTAAAGGAACAGAAAGTAGGAACAAGAACAACGTTTCAAAGTTGTCAAGCAAAAAATCGTTTGTTGCAAGAAGAGGATCGATGATGGGAGCCTTGCTCGTATTAGCATTCTTCCTGTTTTCATGATTTTTTTTTTTTTTTTACCAAGAAATGTAGATGCCAAAAGATTAAAGAGAAGAGAATTTGAAAATAAAAATAAAATTAAACTTACTTTTTCATGATTTTTTTCTTTGTTTTTGTTAACTGAGGTATCCGAATCAACTTACGAGCACCTCGACTAATTTTCACCGCCTTGGCCTCCTAAGTAGATCATGGATAAAACTACTACCTTCCATCATATTTTCGAATGGGGAATCAAACCTGACACTATAGGCTGAAGTCATACACAACCCTCTTGATTTGTCCAATTGCCATTGGGTTACCCATGGGTGGGTACCTTTTCAAAATTATTGTTTTTCCATTGATTGAGTTGAAACTATCTTCCATCATATTTCTGAATATTTTAAATCTAAAAAAAAGAATCTCAAACATGTAAAAGGGTTTAGGGCTTCAATAGGGGTGAAACCAAAAATTTAATTCGGGTTCGGGGAGAGCTGAATTTTTTTGTTTTGTTTTTGTCTTTAAATTACACTAAATTATATTTATAATTGTTTGCAATTCTAGTTGGTATGAGAAACTTTTATAATATAGATGAAGAATCATAAACCTAACAGTGGATACAAAGAGCCTTACCCTTTGAAATTTATTTTTTTCATTGAAAAGAAATGCTAATTATATGATAATATCAAGAAGGAAAAATGTTGCAAATGAGCGAAAGGGGTAGAGACCTATATATTAATTTATTTTTTGATAAGGAATGATAAGATAAGAATTCATTTTAAATTAGGATTAGGAAATCTTTTTTTAATAAGAAATAATGAGAAAAAAAAAAATTTCCTTTCGTTAAGATTGATAAAATAAAAGATATAAGTTTTTAATAATGAGGATGGATATACAAACTAAAATAATCTTTAAGGATTATAAATAAGTATTAATGTAAATATGTATATAGAATAAATTAATTTAGTGGTATTATATTGGAGTTGTTAAATTAACTAGTTTTTACATTTAAATATTATCATCTTAGTTTTATTCAAACAATTAGCCCATAAGAAACACGAATTAAAAAAGCAAAACTCAATTTTTATTAACTATTCTAATTTAACATTTTTTTTCCCCAATAAATTTGACTAAATCCCAAATATAAAGTTTATTTTTGATGTGAATTAGAATTAGAACGGAGTGGTGTTATTCAAGCTCCATGCAATCTCTTTGTAAGCTCCAATATCGATTAAAAAAATTATATTCAAAAATTTTAATTTATTTCGGAATTGTCATTTTTTTAATCTTTTTAACCTAATTCTATTCTGGTTGAGAAACAACAAAATAATCATGAATGAGAAATAACAAAATAAATAATAAGATTTCATTAAAAAATTTGCCCTGATTTACCTTTTGCCCATGATTTACCTAGGGGACTACGACAGTTGATTGTTGTAGGATAGTTTCTCCTGAAGATTAGTTGAGGTGCGCGTAAACTAATTCAGATACATTAGTTAACAAAAGGAAAAAAAAAAAAGATTTCAGTAGAAAAGAAATTATTAGTATACTTTTACCTTTATTTTCTTTTTTAATTTAATTACTTCCACCGACTATGCTATGATTTAAATTAATTTAGAGATAATAATATATTTATCTAATTAATTATAGAAATAGAAGATGAATGTGATTATATGTACCCATAATTACATGAAAAACTTGGGGTTTGATTTTAAGGAATGAGAGCCAGAGAATCCCCATCTCTTGCGCAAGTTTATATGGACCAAGTTCATACTAAAGCCAACGGTTAACGGTCTCTTTGAATGTTTGTTTAATGCGCGCCAAACATTCTCATTCCTCCATGGCTATTCAACCTATAACTTCATCTCTTTACTCTCATTTTCATATTTAACTCCTCCCTCACTCTCCTACTGTTTCTCCATTTACGTTTCTTCCTGGACACCTCCACTCTAAATTTCACAAGGCCCCCAGAAAATCTCCAAGAATCATTCGCAAATCCAATGAAGATGTACCTCCCATTCTCAGTTTGATCATTAATCTTCATCTTTTTCATAACTTGCATATAATTTAACTCATTAAAATTGTTTAAAATTTGTAATTGTCAGGATTATCTCATAGATGCTCCTGTTTCTGTTGGTGATGGCTTTTCTTTCAGTGGAGGTACCCATCAAATTAGTTATTTCATTTTTAACTGTTTAATTATTAAGAATATTATTGAAGGAGAATGTGGTTGTTTTGTTCAGGCAAATATTCAGATGGGTCGTCACCTTCTGATGAATGGTTTAAGCAAGGAAAAATGTTAAATGTACAAGGAAAATTTCTGTGTAGTAAAATTTTTTTTTAAGGGTTAAAGGCTCATTGTGTCCCCTGAATAAGTTATAATAAATTTCCTCGTAGCGTCGTTGAGGTTTACTGAGAAGAAGTATCAAGCATCAAGGGTGCCTATTGATAAACATTGAAATGTTTCTTGGTTGTTTAGTAATGTTGCTCACCAATACGAATTTAAGAATCTTTTTTGCTTTGAAAGCACATCCTGTCTCTGGTTCTGGTGAGAAGGCAAAAGAACCTGTTTTCCGACTTACTAGGGGCTGCTTCTCAGGCCTCAGCTGATGTTTTCGGGTAATATATTTGAAATTAATTGAAATCTTCTGTAGACTATTACCTAATAAGTAGTTTCAATAGTGCTTTTTGATTAAGATTTGATTATTTGCAGGGTTTACCGATTGAAACATGCTCTCTCTATATATGATTTTGTGCCTTAGATGGTTCTGCGTCAAAAGTGGAAGTGCAGATAATCATTCAGTTTTGTTGATTCATGGTTTCCCTTCACAAGTGAGTATTATTCCCTCGATCAATTATAAACATTATGCGTAACATCATGTTTGTTTTTCATGATTTATGTTGTTAACATGCCTATTCTTATCGCAAAGTCCTTCCTACACTCGCCAAGAACTATCATGCCATTGCTTTTGATTGGCTAGGTAACATCATGCTCTTAGTATATGGTGAATTGTAGTGAAAGAGGGTTCACTCCCAAAAGAATATAAACTGATATGGAAAATTTATGCCTTTTTCTCTCTTCTTCAGGCTTTGGATTTTCAGATAAGCCTCAACCCAGATATGGATTTGACTATACTCTCGATGGTAATTATTTATTAGCCTTCATGGTGGCGATTCGCGAATGAGAGTTATAGATTGGTTTAGTTTCTAATGCAACAGCTTTCATTTATCAAATTATGAAAATGAAAACATATTGTCTGTTTGTTATGGGTTGCAGAATATGTGGCATCCTTGGAGTCTGTTATTAATGAAATTGGCAGCGACAAGGTCTCGATTGTTGTCCAGGCATGTTTTCCTTCTTTGATTGTCAAAGTTCGGATATAGCAGCTAACTTTATCTATAATGTTTAGTAAAATGAAACTGGAACTTCCTATTTTTGATGTGCTTCTGTTAAAGTGTGAACCTATTTATGAGAGCTTGAAGTTGTCATTGGCAGAAGTGGGAAGCTACAGCAAAGTGACGAAGGAAAAAGAGATGACCGATCGCTGCAGCGACAGAACTGGTAGCTGCAGCGAGCACTGAAAAGCAGCGCTGAACATGAAGAAGAACGACAGCCGCGGCGATGGAGATGGTGGCCGCGGCGAGCGTCCTGGGCCGTAAAAAGTTCCAGCTTTATTCTTTTTCCTGTTTTCTAGTATTCTAGTTTTAGAATAACTCTTATTCATAAGAGATTTGGTTGAGTCAAATTAGGGAAGTAGAACTTGATTAGGAATATTAGTTCATAAGATTTTTGTTTGTATCTAACTAGGAAAGTAGAATCTGTTTTGAAGTAGAAGTAGTATTTCCTTTGTTGTATAAAAGTAGTTAAACATTAATGAAAAATTATGAGAGTTCATTGTTTCCTTCAGTAAAAGTGTTAAAGTTATTGCTTCCAATTCCAACAATTAGTATCNACAACAGTATGCTGGGGTCAGAGAGACCGTTGGTTGAACTATGATGGAGTCGAAGATTTCTGCAAGGATTCAAATCATAAGCTAATCGAACTTCCAATGGTATAAACTACAATCTCTACTTCATTTAAAGATATTGGAGAAAGTTTTAGTCGTTAAGGTTTTTTATGATACTGGCAAAAAATGCACTTATGTGATCTGTTGCACTGTGCAGGCAGGGCATCATGTACAAGAAGATTGCGGCGAAGAACTTGGACAAATTATTTCTGAAGTTTTTAGCAGAAGGAGATGAAATAAAAATATTCTATAGGTGTTTATGGGTAACTCATTCTACCAAATTTAATTTGAATTTGTTTGACATCAAGCTAAGTCAAAGGCATATATGAACTGTATTACAATCTCTCCCTTTCATTTTTTATTTTATTCTGAGGTTGAGCTAACCTTGTTAGATATTACAAAATACCGCGACATGAAAGTTCAATGAAGACTCAGTATTTCCATTCATAATAAATAAATTGTCTAGCCCTTGCAAAACGAATCGTGTTATATTGCTGTAGTTATACAAGATTTGATAGATTAAAAGAATAGCTTTATTCTAATAGGTATTAGACTTTATGCTCCTCAACATTGCAGAAAAATAATTGTACTTTTTACACTTGAAACGGTAGCTTTGTTGGTAATTGCTGCCATTTCTCCTCTCTAACAAAACGCTTTGAGTGTTTCTACTGTTTTTTTTATTCTTTAAGTGAATAAATCCAGCAATCATCTTCCTTCACAGCTTTTTTCCATCTATTTTTGAAGATCTCTAATTCAACATATGACCGTTTTCTCACCTGCACAATTAGTGAATTAATGAATACTAGAAATCTTCTTTCAATGGCTAAATATTCTGTAGTCTCAGCAACAATAAGCCCAAGTTAAGTGGGATTATATTGCTACCAAATTTTAATAAAAGATATATTAACTGTGTTGAGCTAAAATAGCACCAGCAGAAGCAGGATCTCTACTATGCTTACCTCATTTCTACTAGTAGGCTGATTGGACAATGTTACCTGTGAATTCAATGGCCATTAAATCCCAAATCGGAAATGAAAATTTTTTAATAAACACATTGATATCTTATTTTGCCTGCTTATTATACCTGTTGTTTTGAACTAGCTAAGTTTTCATTCTGAGCTACTAAGTCAGGGGTTTCAGAATTTGTCTGCATTGAGGATTGCCATTGTGAGTTAGTAACTAATACAAATGAGAGTGCAACAGTTGATTGCATGTTTGTTGGCTGTCGAATCTGAATTCAAGAAGTACAATACAAGTGTCTGACATCTTAATTCAATGCAAAATCAAGTTTCTGACCTTTAGTGCTGGACCTCCAAGTGTCGGAAGACCATAGTGAACAACATACTCGGAATCAACAATTCCTATGTTCTTGGTAGGATCGCCCTATAAAACGATATGACACGATTGTTTAGGAGAATGAGCTGGAAAAATGGAAGGGTTTTGTACTGGAGGAAATTACCTGTGCACAATAGCCAAGTTGAAAATCCAAGCCCCATGCATGAACCAAGTCATTCTGGCAAAAACATTTTGCATGTAAATCAAGACATAGAAAAACCAAATAACAGAAATATCTGGAGGCCTTGTAGTTATGTTTTTTATTTGAGAAATTAACAGTCAATCTTGAATCTTCCATCAAACTCTTTTGACACTTCTTGAATGACAACATTTTGGTGTTGCTTAATTTAGTAAGAAGCCATTGCTCTCAATAATAGTTTCCTTTTTGTCAAATTATAGTACAGATGCCATACCTGAATCATATGCCATGCGCAACACCAGGATGCTCTCGAGAAAACAGGTGCCATCATTTCCACAAACCTGTAATATGTAAGATTTTCATTATTCCCGGTAGAATACATAATTTGAATGTATTTGGATGATCAATTCATAAGACTTTTAAAGCCATAAAGTTATAAATAATGTAGTCATTGATACACCACTCAGTTGGAAAATTTAGTACACAAGTTCTTTTACCCTGTGCAAGGAGGATTGGTGCTGTTTTCGTGGCACCTTCTTCCACCGCCGATCACCTTAACAATCCTCCTGTTAACAACCACAGACCTCGAATTAGAAAATATCTAACAGAATATTCACTTCAATTAGAATAAGCCGCATTTTGTATAAGCAAACAAAAGCGTCAGTCTCAGAATTTTACTATTATCTTATTTCTTTCTGGAAAAGAATAGTTTTCAAAGAGATTGATAACCTGTGTACTCTTGTTCTGTTGTCTCGGGCTGTAAGCTGATGATGCAACTCGGAGTATTCAGGATCAAGGGCTGGCTGTGATATCTCAAGCCCTTCTTCTCGAATAATTGAAAGATATCTGGAATTGGGTATTCGAAGTGCAGAAGATCAATATTTGAACTTTTCATTTGAACAACTGTCAGGAAATTTTGAAACAGAGCTAGGATAGATATATGAATACCTTTTAGCATTAAAATTGTCAACTCCAAGGTCTTCATCCCACAGGAATATGTAGGCATAGCCTGAAACAATATCAGGATGCAAGAAACGCTTAGCAAACCACCTGGATCAAGGAAACATTTCAAACATTAAGTTACTGATGATTAACTAAACGCTTAGCTGAAAATTTGGTTCATATTCATGGCTAATGACCATTAGTTACCACTTAGTTTGATTGATAGCGGATACATGTATGGCTTGAGCACTCCATTCTAAATCTCTCCAATCATCCACAATGCCATCATAATGAAAAAGCATTACCACAAAATCACTTGGTGGAAACTGTAACATGAAAGTTAAATGAGAGACTGAATTCCATGAAAGTCTACATGCAAAAATTCATATTTTTCACCTTTTTGACAATTTTATCTACACTTTCTTTTTGCTTTATCCCAGCTGCAATGGCCAATAAGTTCATTGGGGTCTTTGAGTTCTAAGCAAAACAGTATAGAACAACATAGTTAATTCACTTGATGATACCGATATATTTGCTGAAACACCTCTGTTTAGCATCGATTGTGCATAAGAGATGATAGTAACTTCTGCCTTTCGCTACAGAAAATCTATATATCACTGACCTTTTCATTTCCAGGGCCTGATAATGGACGCATTTTCAAATCAGACGTGCCAGAGACAATGCCTTCAGGTAGCGTCTCGCTTCCATAAAGTCTGTCTCGAGTCTGAATGCATACAATAACAAATCATCAAAAGCTAAAGCTACTCACTGCATACAGTATATCTAAGAAAACAGAAGAAAATAGACAAACCTCACACATCTTAGACCTTGAAAGCACTCCCCATCGAAAAATCTTCTGTTCACAGAAGCCCCCATTATAAGTTAAATATGTTATTTTTTAATAAAACAATTAACATCCAGAACAGAGAACAAATCCATCTAATAAACATCTATTAAACTACCAAACCAATATATGTGCCACCCCGGCCCACTGTCATGATATTGTTAATTTTTTGTCTCTTACCTACCTCAAATAGTTGGGCTCAAAAGCTTTTGTCTTGATTCGTTTCCACAATATCTTAACAGTTGGGTGGAGGGTTACAGTGTCATGATAAGTTGATAGGAGAATTCTATTGATACCTCTTTACAGTTTGAGACGACAAAGGCACTCCCCAAGAAGAAAGCTGCAGCGAGCAAAATCACTGTAAGGAGGCAATGAAATGATTTGTGCTTCTTGCGCTCAACCTTTGGGTATATCTGAAATCAAGAGGAAATCAGAATCAAAAGAAGAAACATATCTGCTGCATATACATTATAAAAATAGAACGATAGAAACTTACAGAAGTTGACATATTCTTCTTAGAGTTCATGGTCCATGCATGGAATGGTGTGAATGAGTGAATAAAAGTAAGAATATAAAGTATAAAGAAGATGATGAAAAGCAATTAACAAGTTACTTAGGACTTAAAAAGTCAGTCCTAGGAGTTAATGCTCATGTGTTTCATCATCTTAAAATAAATGGTTTTGCTTGTAACGCACAAACTAACGTGCTCTTTGCGTGACTATGACTCCTAACCACTTGAATAAGCTCATATCCAGTTAATTCTCTGAAAATGTTTCCAACTTTATCCATAAGTCCAGGTATGTATGAAGTTATCAAAGTAATATCCACATCCAATCCATTTATTTTTCTTTATCTATTTTGAACTTGGCTCCTCTAAATAATTAACTTATGAATCCTTCCCAGCCCTCAGACTGCATAAACTTGCTTCTGGTGAGCGTGAGATCTAAAATGGAGAATATTTACTTGAGTAGATCCAAATTGTTATAACAGAAATCAGGGTCAACTCACAGCCCAATGATACAATGAGTGACGATCTCACAACCCCTTCTCCTCAATCAAATATACGTATTTTAAAAGACTAATACAGATAATATCCAGTTAAATGTACTCGGGTTTTCAGCAAATATTAGAGCGTGATATATTTAATTTGGATGTTATGGATAGAATATGCTGTGTTTGATTTAAATTTGGTTCTATTTCTCTTCATTTGATCACATTCTAAAATATATTACATTGGCTGTAACATTCGGTTCAAGTCCTATGGAAAAGTATAGTAGTAGAGAGGTACTTTTTGACATACTATACTCGTCTTGCAACAATGCCAGCCAAAAGGTTTTCCACAACATGCCAATTTCTGTAGAGCACAAAACCATACAGCAGGCTAAGAGCTAAAGCTGAAGAGACGCCGGTGATTAGGAATAGACCACGAAAGCTATCAAGAGTAAGAGGTTTCACAGTGTTTGAAGCGTCCCCTGATGTAAATGTCGACTGAAGACTTTGAAACCATAAATTCTCCAACATAATAAGCCTTCCATTTTCTCTTATTTTGGGAATTGCATTTGACATGTCAGAGACTAATGGAGAACCTTTACGAAAAACCTGAAATGTCAACATTAAGAGGAAACCCAAGGTAGCGAAAATATGAACTCATCATGCTGTGATATTTGAAAACAATAACAATAATGCATTGTATGAATGGACTATGCATACAAGATTAAGAAGAAAATGATACTTACAAATCCAAAACTATTGGTGGACGACATGTATGTGATCATTGAATAGTCTGCAGAGTACCTTGCAAGGAAGATTTTGATGTATGGTATCTCATCAATGATAGCAGAAACACCACCCTTCTTGCTTCTCCTTGATAAAGCATTTGCATACTCTTCAGGTGAACGAAATGGCTGAAGATTAAGCATTTGTATAACTAGTAGTCAATGTAAGCACAACAGACAACCACACGATCACCACAAACTTTGACAAATTGCTTAACAACTTTTCCCCTGTAACAATGTGAACAAAAATTCTATTAATCATTTATTGACCACCGATAAAATGAAATTGAAAAATAAGAAAGTGCTTACTATGAGTGAAAACAAGTGTTGACAACAAAAACCAGAATATCATTCTAATTTCTTGACATATAGGACCTTGGAATTCATTGTTAATACGACGCTCAATCAGCCAAATTACAAGGCCAGTCAAGATAAAAAAGCCAGCACTAAATAACCAAAGCTCAGTAGTTAGTGGCTTCAAGAAAATCCACATGTTTTTGCTGTCTTTTGGGGCTATGATTCCAACTCCCATGTCAGTATAAGGTAATGTGAAATCAACATATAAAGATCTTTTTAAGGTGATTGTTATGTCTCCAACTGCAGCATCAAAATCCTAATTTGTTTGAAATGAAACATGCAAAAAATATAACCCATAATCAGAAAAGTTGACTTAAATAAAATGTAAGATTTAGAAAAACAATTTTCATATGAAAAAGTTTGCAGTCCTTTAAGATTTATTTCACAGGTACTTAAAAGATCAAAGTGGGGCAGCCATCTTGAAATTTGTATCAAGCATACTTGGACATACATCTGGTGAACAAGTTCTCTAAAAGTCCCATTATTCCTTTTCCAAGAGTTGGGATATGGTATAAATTCATAATCAACTTCGTAATGCAAGGTTTCGATGGTAGAACTGAAGACGTCTATACAGAAGCCTGTTATACTTGTCACATTAGTTTCGAAATCATGATCTACATTTACCAATTCAGGGAATCCAGGATTTGGTATAACACCAATTCTAAACTTTTGATCACTCCGCACTGCATATTCTTTTGGAATCTTAGCAGACCCTCCGGGCCAAATAATGCCTTCAAGATCACTAGAGGAAGATAATTGTCTACCATGCCTATATGAGTAAACTGTTCTACTAGTTGCTCTAACAGGAGCCCAAAAACCTAGTTTTCTCTGGTGTCTTCCTATCACATTCACTATCTCAAATGCATTTGAATGTAGTTTACCATTAATAAATTGAAATCTTCCACTCAAACCCTTGAACTATAGCTGCAATATTTCTTTATGAAATATTGAACCATGTGCAGCTATAGAAGTGTTAATGTCCTCTAAATCCATCCAATTCAATGTGCTATCTTGATTTTGGATCAAAGATATTTTAGGCTTCGCCCTCTCAGCTGCCATTGCCAGACCGCAAACCACATCATATGCCCATACACAAATTGTATTTAACTCCATTACTTCCATATTAGTTTCAAGAAGAAATTGCTTTCTCCATCTCAAAGAAAAAACTTTTAAGGTCCTTTGAAGGTGGAATATAGGACTTGAGACCAATCACTCCTTGCATTGAGCTGGTGTCATATTCTCTAGTGAAATGCAGACAACTCATGCTATTTGCAGTCATGATCCAAGCATACCCTTTACTAATCAATCCTAGTTTCTTTGCAGTCATGAAAAAGCGAAGCGAAAGTGACGGTGACATATGCACAATAAATGCGGTTTGATGCAATGCAATAAGCTTATGCATTTCCTCCATGATTTTATTGTCTCCAGATAAGGTAGCAAGGGAAGTCTTATATGCAATATCAGGGGTGGTTGTAAATTTTTTTTAAAAATATTAATATGTACAATTTCTAGATTTTGGCCCACCCTAACAGAAATATTAATTGACAAAAATATTAATGTGCAATTAGTTTTTATTTTGGCCCAACCTAACAAAAATTTTTGGATCCACCCCTGAGCAATATGGATGATTTTCTCAACCAATGACTCAACTAAATGTGCGATCAAATCTTGCCAATCATCTCTGTCCTCGTATATAATAATGACAACTCTACATTTGAATGATTCAACAATAGCAGTGATGCCTATAGCTTCAGAGCTTCCATCTTGTGTGATTTGAACAAGATAAGAAAATCTGTTTGAGGATGGATAAGTATCAGAAGCAGAAAATGAAATGTAGGGGACTTTAGTTTTATGTCCTAGCTCAGCCAAAAACTTGGCTTCCATTGATGTTTCAGCAATTGCTCTTATTTTTGAATATTTCAAAAGATCAACAGCTGCACTGTGCAAAAATATCGAAAGCTGAGAACAATTACAAAATAATGAAGGAGATTTTGAGTTTTATTACTACTTTAATGAAAATGTAAAATCATTATTTAAGATAAATTTACCCTACTTAATTAAGAGAGATCTAAGAACCCATGAATGGTAATTATCATATCCAAAATTCAACACAATTAATTTAAAAGGCCCAATTTCATTAGCAAGGATTGCTTGTGAAAAGGCTATATATCCTCATGGTATACAGTTTCACCTCCATAGGCTGTCATTTTTTCTCTATATACAACTTGGATTTTTTAAAATTCGAAATAATTTTTTTTTTTTTTTTTTTTTTATGTCAAGCTTTAATAGACAAAATTCTGTAATTTTTTATGGTGAGAAATTTAACAGAAAAAGATTTGGTCAAGATTTTAAATAGATCAGGAAATCTGCACCGAAGTTTTCACTAATATAGTTATTCATCTGACCTTCGTCTGAAGCCAAATATGTGTTTATTGCAAAACCAACCAATCACAATGATTAGTAATCAGATAAAAGGGAAAAATAAATGTATACAAGAAGACGGATGACGAGAACTCTGATGTCAGAATTATAACATATTGTTGAGAAAGTATCTGATAGAGTTAGAGTGTAACTGGGATAATTAATACCCCTTGCGTACATTAAGCTAAGTAAAACCAAAAAGCTACAGTTATATACCAAGAAAAGGAACGAGAAAAGCTTACCGGAAGCTAGAGCAAGTAGAGGTTGTCCTTTGGAATCCCTTGTGTCGAGAACTACTCTAGTTTTGTGGTAACTATGAAGACTGTAGAAATCAGAAATTGCCATGGAAATGCAGCTTTCAATCATCTTCCCCTCCAATGATCCCATATCCAGGATCACGCCAACATCAGTCTTGTCCTGAAAACTTTGTTCAAACAATGAAGCAAGAATGCCGAAAAATATTAACAAAGAGAAAAAAGTTTTGTTCTTCATCTTAATCTCGATAGTATAATTCGATCAAAAGGGATGCTTTCTAGTTGGTCATATAACAATTCAATCAGACTTCACCTATTGCTTATAAAAATTCAGCTTATCTTGACTTTGAGGCGTGAAAGACTGAAAATATGGCTTCAAATATTTGTCGATATTACTGACTTCAAAGATAACGGTGGGGATTTAACAGATTGAAGGGTTTGTTGGTCATTTAACATCATTAACCAAATCTCATATGCCACTATGAAAAGTGAAAACACATGCAAAACCAGTAACAAGTTCTTCAATTTCTATAAGCAAACGAATAATTAAAATTCTTATAACTAAACCTGCAACAGGGACACTTTAGAAATCCACACACATTATATAGATTAAAATATGAAGGCCAAACAACAATAACTTCAAATCTTAAAAAAGTTCCACAACACACCAAAATCAACCATTACACACACAGATCTAGTAAACCAAAAATACCTCGTGAAAAATTCAACGCAAAAATCAAGGTGGGTAAATCGTTAATGGCGGTGGGTCAATCGTGAAGGCGTTTTGAATCAAGCGTGGGCAACTCCTGGCCACGTCCAGCAGCGCAGGCCTCACGAGCTACGCCACAGCCAGGACTGCCGAAGACTCGTTGTCACCGGTTTTTCCAGTCGTATGGCGTCTCCGTCATGGCGGCCCAAGCTTCACCGTTAACGCTGACGCTACAGCGATGTCATCCTCTTCCATCATGGGTAAAACAGCTCCGGCTGTACATTTGGTAAATTGATCTGTACAATTGTTTTATTTTTATTATTTTACTTTTTACTTTTTTTATAAACGCATTGACATTACCAAAAGTTGAGGGGCCTATATTGACCAAATATCTGAATGTGATCGTTAAGCCCAACTTAAAGTTACTTTTCCAAAAAGGCCCCTCATATAGTAGGAATTTGGGAAATCGACACCAAAATCTACAAAATGGGGAGGAAAGTAAGATATCAATTTTATTGTGCGTACATGGGCAAAAATCAGTATTGGACTCTTGACGCTAGCAAATTTTCTCCTTCCACGCTATGAAATCTACTTAAAGTAGTTCCTGACTTAGCTATTCTCTATATTACCTCATCATAATTGGGATTTTGCAAAAATGCAGTGTTGTGATGTGGCATTGACTTATGCCTTACGCGGAAGTCAGCTTTATAACTTGGGTAGTCAAAATTATTCTGTTAAAAGCAAAAGGGCATTTATGGAATTTCTTGTGATTGTTATGTAAGCTAATATGAATTAGGTTTTGGTCGATTGTGGGTGTGCTCCATTCTCGATCTTTCTCTCTTGATTACAGAGAAAGAAAGTTTGTTACAAATTGGATGTGTTGGAACCTTGAAGATCGTTGATGGAATCAAACGGTGTTGGTAGGTTTTAGTTTGCTTTTCTGTTTCCTTTGGTTTGTGTATAAAATGTCAATTAACTTCTAGTTGTTTGATATGTATGAGAGGTGAGGAACATCTGGGATTTCGGGTGTATTACAGAGGGTTTTTTCTTGGGTTTTTCTTTGTGTAAAGGAGAGAGCTGCAATCACTGTAAGGTTTCCTTTATTCTCATAAGGAATGATTTCTTATTGCTCTGAAGAGTGGATGTAGGTAATCTAATTGATTACCGAACCACTATAAATCCTTGTATTCATTTTCTCTACTGATTTTACCTTATGTTATTTACTTGTGATATTTGCTACTAATTAGAAACTTAGGTTTGCACATCTTGTTTTCAGATGATCTCATGTTTAACATGCAGCATATTCATCATTCCCCACATCTACTAAATGAAAATACCCATTAGTTACCCGTGCGTTACATGGAACTTGAACACCTCTAGGCTCTAACATAAAACTTATTATTCTGACACTCAGGAAAGTTCGCATAGAATTCCATTAGCAAGAATGCACATGTCGTGTGGTTAGTCTCCTTGCAAAATCACACCATCCTAAAACCATTATCCTATCACTAACCCTAGGATAATCCAAGAAATCTAGTCCCCTTTATTCGATAAAGCCCCTTTGCTTGTGAACATCTTCTTCATATTTTTGTCTGGCTGTATCGTTCACAAATCGATCATCATTCAGTTTCCCTTTTCCTTTACTACTTTCACCTGTAGTTTTTCTCTTCTTGGTTGATTGGTGTTTCATTGGAGCCATCACAATTTTTTTCCAAAAACTTGGCACAACACTTCAACACACTCCAAACACTACAATCGAAATCATGATTCTTGACAATTATAAACTATCAAGAAGGGGGTTCCTTGATAGTTTTTGAACTGTCAAGGAAGCCCATGTCAAGCAAGGGTCTTGACAGTTTTCAAACTGTCAAGAATCTCTTGACAGATTCTTGAAAACTATCAAGGATTTAGCCTAGTTTTAACCAAATCCCCAAATCCTTGACAGTCTTAAAACAGTCAAGATTTATTTATTTATTTTGTAATTAGTTTATTTTCCTGGTTATTATTAACTAAATTATGGAATAGTGCAATGAAATTATTCATAATATTCCTCAACCAACAACAATTATCACAATTCAAAAATAAATTTAGACATTCAACAATGTCTCAATTAATTTATTGAATGGTACATATATTACTATTGCTCTTATTAAACAAAAATTGAACAACAATATAAGTTTTAAGATATTGCAAAAATAACTGTAAAAGATGAAAAGTAGATAAATTCAGTATATATACATGAATAAAAGACCCATGGCATTAGTGCGTCAATAATTAAAAGTTTGACACATAATCGGGTGAGAACGAAGAAGATTGGGTGATGAACTAGCGAATGAAAACAAAACTAAAATTCAAAGTTAGGTCTTTTGTATACAGAACTGTGACCCTAGCTGTTGAGCATGCGCGCACCTGCAAGTGATAGAATTGTTGTCACCTGCATTTTAAATATTGATAGCATATTAGTTAAGTTTCACATGAAAACAAAATGGATAATTTCAACCTATAAACGCTATATAGATCAGATTTATAGCTTTATAAAAGCAACATGGACTAGTATGTATTTCCATATTTGAAACATCATATATGATTATAGAAATGTAGTCAGAAATAGCTCCTGTGTGAAACAACAAAATCAGTATGAATATTTCCTTCTTAATGGGGAAGTATGATGATGGAAACATTTGCTTGATTTAGAATGTCAAGTTAGACTACAAATTATACACATGGCAGATATCTTAGACCAAGATTGCCAAGGTATTACATTGACCAACCATATATCTCTGAGGAAAGAAAAATGGCCAAGAAACAGTTTTGAGCAAGTTAAATCTCACCTAAAAGCTCTCTATATTAGTAAGTAGCAAATTTTCATTTTTTGGAGGAATGGAAAAACATGAACAACCGTGCGAGGATAAGAATACACAATAACAACAAAATGCTTAAGTACTTCTATACAAATATAGTGTCATTGTTTTTAAAATACTTATCCATTGTGAACTCAGATATTGTATATAATATGTAAGTTCATAAATCCTTAGATTACATAGATATAATCCAAGTCATGCAAATTGGTTTTATGAGTAATCATGTGTGACTCACGAATTAAAGGTACTGAACTTATAAGCCAACTACCAAGACAACACGATTCCCAATTAAAGGTTAATGGTATCCTTGTGATTTTCCTCACAATGTACTATCACAAATTAAGAAATACAAGTCATCCATAAGTGTGAAGACCCAAAATATCACCCACAAGGCCCCATAAAATGATGACAAAGAACCCAACTCAGGTTATGGTCCTAATGGCACAAATTTGATACCTTGTCCACTCACCTGCAACTTCCAACTAAAACCCACAATGTGTCTTCAACAAAAGATCTTATGCCCTTAACTCCTACTTTTCTTGTTTAATCTTTGTTCCTCCACATGATACTTGAAAAAAATTAAACTTATTTATAGGAAATTTCTATCCAACTTACTGTACTAGTTTCAAACTTCAGTAAAAAGAAACCTATCATAAAATATTGAAAACAAACCAAAATCTCTCTTAGTATTTGTCAGAAGCACCAGTTTTAGGTTTCATAAATTTGCATAAGTCAAGAACTATCTCAAGATTTTAAACAAACAAGTGATAAACTAAATGAACTTTTCCTTCTACATACAAAAAAAAAATCCCATTTCACAGCAAACAAAATCATTGCAAAAAGGGGTATCAAGAGAGTACCAGAGTAATTATACTCAGGAGACGCAAAGAGATAACAATCAGCCTTAAGACTCTTTTGATGAAACACTTCAACAATGGGAGGATAAGTTTCATTAACTTCGAGATCAGTATTGAGCATTGACAATGACGCAATGTCAATGTACTCTATCTCCATGCCCTTCACGGAGTCCTTCACCAACTACATAGCTTTAATTTAAGAAACCCATGGTTTGTCAGAAGAAACTCAACACAACTCATAAAGCTTATAAAGGATATGGAAAAGAGAGAGAGAGAGGAGACTAGAGTGAATGAGGCCGCGGTTGAAAGATGCTTTACGAAGAGACCCGCAAAAAGCCACCACTTTCATAAGTGGTTGCTATGCTGCTACCATTGCCTCCATTTCTTTCTCTCCTTCTTTACTTGTCAAAGAGTAGTTGCAATTTGTCTGCTCTGGATTTATGGCTGTTCAAAATTGGTTAATGTTTTATGTTAGAAGTCTCTTGATGCCCCAAACTCATATGTATCTCCTGAAATTACGAACCCCTACCCTAATCCACCCTGGTCTGAAGGCAAATAATATAAAACAGGTACCCAAAACTTCCCTACAATTATCTTTACTCTTACTTAGTGAAATAACTTATAAAGCTTTCCCGATATTACTTTTCTAGTAATCCGAAGTTGTAACGCCCACATCAAGGTAAGTAGCTTTATTTATGCCCTAAACCCTTAATGGATTGTTTTTTAAGTTATTGGCAAGTGTAAGGAAATCTTACAATGTTATTAGGGGTAAAATGGTCTTTTCACTCATAATAGTTGAAAAAATGGGGAGTGAAAAGAAGTAGAAAACATGGAGAAGTTAATAAAAATGAGGGCATTTTTGTAATGACTAAGGGACATTGATGGAATTTTTAGAAAGTACAAAGGTAAAATGGGAAACTATATAATATTAT